TTTGAAGATTGTATAATTTAATAATATTCAATAAAGTATGCCATATAGGCCATATATTGAATTTAAAAAGCTTGTTGAGGTTGGAAATTGTATTGTAGATGTTAGTATATTTAGTGATGATAGATTGGAAATCTGTAAAGATGTTGACTATTGCATTTTGGGATGTGGTAGAAATAGCTGAGAGAATAGCCATCAATTCTGCTTTGTAGGATGATGGCCAGAAGTTGATTCTGGCAGAGAATTTGTGAATGATTTGATTATTGTTATTGACTTGAACCCAGCCAATGCCATTGTATATTGGTCAGTTCCGATATTGATTACTGAACCATTAGTATAAAAGTTAAGTTGTTGTTGAAAGCTGTTAAGAATCAAAAAATATTAACTAACACTGCCACTATAGTTCACTTAACAATGAATTTGTGTACTTCAAAAAGTAAGCACAGATATATCAGTGTCACTGCAACATTGCTTACTTTTGATTTTAAGTTTCAAGAAATATTATTGTTATGTCATAACATGTCCTACCCATATGCAGTGAAGACATTAGCAAAGAACTTTTCAATATCATTAGTGAATAGAACTTAGAAAATAAAGTGTGCATGATTGTTACAGACAATGGTGCCAATATGGTGAAAGAAATTAGGTTATTAAAAGATAATCATTTTGTAGAAGCTTGCCGACATCGTTGTGTTGCACATACCCTTTAGCTCTCTGTGAAGGAAGGATTGAAGCAAATTAAACATATTTACCAACATCTTAAAAACATTTAAACATTTTTTTGTTTGCCAAAACAAGCCCAAAGATTAAAGAAAATGCAAATGCGTCATGCATTAGCAGAATCTCAAAACATTAATAATAATGAAATAGTTAGCCCTCTTGAAATATTAACTGACTGTAGGACATGTTGGAACTTGGCCTATTTGGTCTGGAAAAGGATATTAGAATTGTATCCAGCAATGTGTTCACTAGCTGCATCATTACAGTTCAAGCCAGATACAATATCTAAAAAGAAGAGAGAAAAACTAGGTCAATTGTGTTTGATTCTTGAAGAAAAAAAGTATTTAGTTTTAAGTGTTTTTACCACATATGTACAAAATAACATCACAAGATGTTATTTCATGCTAGGGATTTGAACCATTATTTATTTAACTACATTTAACTATTTATTTATTTTATATAGTTAAATGATTAATTAACTGTTAAATTACTTGCTTAATTAGTTTTAAATTTATATGATTAATTGTTTAATTTAATAATTAAACCTCAAAAAAATGCCAGTACATATGTACATACAAGGCCAGCATTGTTGTACTCAAGACATTGGCCAGTTCTATTAATAACATTTTGTAAAACCAAAGCACTACTGAAAATATATAATCTTATATTGCAGATCTAGGATTGTATTAAAAGAAAGATACTACCAGAATATGATATTTTTAGTAGCTTCCCTATGTTACTCCAGAAGTTTTATTGGGTAAATAGTCATTTATACAAGAAACTAATATCTATTATAGATTGGCATTATTATTGCTGAAATAACAATTGGTTAAACCTTTTGAAGGTTGTTAATTCAGTGCAAAACTTGCAGTCAAGATTTGTAATAGATTATGACTATGTTTTGTAATTAAAACTCAATAGTTACACATTATATTGATATAAATTAAATACAGTTAAATGATATAGTTAACAATGTGGTTAAACAATTAAAAAAAATTTCACAGTTTCAAACTCTATACAAATTTCATGCACATATTATAGTTATGTATTTACTAGTTTTTTTTTTATATTAAGATTTGTAGAAGAAGTGGTTGATGTTTTGAAATCTTTTGAAGAAATGACAAGACATTTTAGTGGCTCCAAATATTCTATCATAAATCTTATATATCCTTATATTCGTAAGTTAAAAAATAAGTATGCACTATGAGTTGAGAATAGTGAATCTTTTGAAAAGCGAATAGCTCTTATCTATGGATCTTTATCAGAAAACTCTGAGCAAATATCAGAGAACCTTTCAGATAATGATACAAGTGTTAGTAGTAGTAATGAGGCCAACATACCTTTAGCTGGAAATAGGCAACAATGGCTGTATGCACCACAGAGTATACATAGTTGAGGCTGAGGCTGTAGAAGTGGCAAACATAAGAGACACAGTATTTTTAAAATGCTCTTGTATATATATATTAGGCTATATTAAGTTAATTTTTCATTTTGTATTATCTAAAATTTGAAATTTAAGTTGACAGTTGGCTTTTTTTTTTATTTTGTTTGTTCTATCAGATAATTCAGATGGTCTCCATCAGATAAAAATTATGAAATCAAAATAAATTACAAAAATAGGACAATTGATGCTTAAAAAAAAAAAAAAAGTCAGCACATTATATAAAATGAAACATTAGCTTAGTGTGACCTTATGTATTTTTATCTTTTTTTATTATAATAAATTAAGATATTTTTATTGTTTGAACATGCAGTAAAATCTGTTGCTAAATTAGATGACACAAATAACATAAAATATTTGCTTCCTACAAAGTGTGAAGGACTTTTAGAAAAAATGTGCGCTGCAATTTAATTATCTCTTAACAAATTGTAGAGTATATCTGATAAAATAGGATTAAAAGCATCTATGTTAGATCCAAGGGTATTAAAATTACTTTCATTTACTACTGAGTATGAATGTAGAAATACTGAAGTACGAATTCGTGCAGAGTTATCAATATTGAAAGTGCAATTTAGACAGAACAATAATAATACAGAAGCTTGTATTATTACAGAAGAAGAATAATACGATTCATTAAGTGCCAAATTATGGGGCTCACTTTCAACACTTATTCCACAAATCATTACTGAAAATGAGTTAACAAAATATTTGAAAGAGCAAATTGCTCATAAAAACTAAGATCCTCTAATATGATGGAAGGAACAACATGCAAATTTTTCACTACTTTCTTAGCTTGCTCGCAAATATTTAGCCATTTCTACAACATCAGTTCCTTCTGAGTGTTTGTTCTCTGATACTGGTGCTCTTATATCTATAAGAAGAACTCGCCTTGCACCAGAATTAGTAAACATAATGTTATTCTTAAAAAGAAATTATTTATTTTTAAAAAATAAATAGCTTTTTCTTTTTTTTTTTTTTTTTTTTTTTTTTTAATATTAAGGTGACCTCTTTGGTCTTTTGACTTTTATTAATCACTTATCAGTATTGTGGTTCAATGAACCACTACAGGAGAGTGTACAATTGGCTACACATGTAACTTTTCTATATTACCTATTTAAGGAGTCTGCCTGAAGGTTTTTTACCAATTGCATACCTAACATTTCTGCTTGTGTGTTCTACTTTAAACTCTCTGAACCTGTAATCTGTGTTAACATCACTGAGTTATCCCAGATGCCCAGATCATCGTCTCAACATTAGAACTAATTTATCCTTAAGGTAAACCCCTCAGAGCCTTCTGTACCCATTTTTATAGCTAATCTAGATATCGCTATGGCAGAACCAATACTTGCAGTCAGGGCTGATCATTAAACCACTATGCTCTTGTAGAGTTCATACAAACCATAGCATTTACTTCACAGAATATCTAAATACTTTAGTATACCCCTGCCAGTTCACCAAACTCCCAATCCAGATAGCCCAGTAGGACTTATAACTAGTCCATTGGTATATTAGGTCAGCCTGATATCCTTTTCCTCTAACACGAGCTGGTGGCCTGGTTGGTGGAACCTCCCATCTAGAGGTTTTTGCCTGTCTGGCTACTTTGACCTTGGTATCTGTTTTATAAGGCTAGGCTTTATAGTAGAGCTATCGAAGATCTGACTACCTTTCTACTTGGATCTTTCCAAATAGACTTCTTGTTACTCAATTTTAATGGATTTACACGGCCACAAGGACTTATCTAATGTTTGCACTACCTATTGCTAGTTTGCATTCCTTCATGTAACCACAACCTTGTCCCAAAGGACAATGTTATGTGGCCTGTTACATGAATGCCCCATGACCTACCAGTCATACTGGTGCAACCACCATTACAGATATCCTAACCTAATCATTAGTAACAGTTGCCATAATACGAATATTATATAGGTGATTATCCAAATTTTTGTCGTCAATGAGATTTAAACACCCAACCAACCACTTGGAGGGTTGATAACCTGACCACTTCACTAGGTTGCCATACCCCTCTTTTTTTTTTTTTTTTTTTTTTTTTTTTTTTTTTTTTTTTTTTTTTTTTTTTTTTTTTTTTTTTTTTTTTTTTT